TTTCATGAAATAAACCCACATAACTGCTTTCATAGTTTTTTTTGCAAACATTATTAAAGACCTGCGTACTGTGGAATTATCCTTAACAAAATTGCGACGAAAAATTTTAAAATGCAAAATGTTGATGAGGACTGGAAAGCATTGCGTCAATTTCCACTGCCGTGAGCGCCGGCCACAGTGAACCCCGCAGTTTTTTGAAAACATTTCAGATACTAAAGAATTATACATTTTACGAGGTGGTTCAATTCTGTGGAGAATACAAACCATGGCAATAATGGCGAATAATCTATGCAATTATTTGCCCATTAGTGTACAGTTCAAGTCGAAACGACGGATCAGACGATTTTCTTGTTATAGTATAGTTTAGTTTGAGAAAGTGTTTAAAAAAACAAAAACATTTTTAGCCATTGCCGTTTTAACTCTGTGCGTTGTTATAAGCGGGTGTAGGCAGTAGAATTGCACCGTGGCGCGCGACAGAAATTTACATATAAGCATGAAACAAAAATATCGAAATTTTTAATCTTCATTCATTCCCGCACCAGTCATAAATTGTTTGGAGAAATTGATTATCGGCGGTAAAAACTAACATCTGACGAAGACGTCGTTAGTGACGTAGCTATAAATGTAAGTTACTTATTTTGGTGCGTCATTTTGTACGTATTTTTGTACAATATTTTTGTTAAGGTTACACCTCATAGACATAATTCCGAATCTTAGTAAAAATAAAAAAAAAATCGACAAGATTTGATTTTGGCACATAATAGGTTATAATGTCTCGCCCATGATTCGCCGAAATATGATGGCCGGTGACGTCACAATCTGCTTGTGAGTACGCAGACGCGGACGCGGAGGGACTGGTACTCTCTACACCATATGGTCGGACGTGCCTGGATAAACAAGTCTTTAGTGGGCAAACAATACATATAATACAATGTCATATAGCCCATAATGAGATGTGACAGATAAAAATAAACTAAATAAAAACGAGCTTAGTCCAAATTGATTAATTGCTGTTTTTCCATAACTACCACTCATTAATTATAGTACTTTTAACATACCATCTCCCCATACCGTTGACCGTAGCACACCCGCGTATTTAACATTTTTATTCAAATATTTGGTGTAACGTGGTTTATTTCTTAGACGTCTCATATTAGGCCAGAGTTCATGGCACTTATAATTGTCAAAGAAAATCATCGTACCACGAATGGTATCGATAGAAGCGACTTAAAACGATGTAATAGTCTAATTTTAATTGCCCACTTAGGGCTCTCCAAAGCTCCTTAGCTTTCAATTATAGCACCCATATTCTGGTTCATATTTATACTCCGATCCTTCCGATGGAGAGGCATGGATCATGCCGATCTTCGATCGAGGGGCATGGATCACGTCACACATTCGGGATAACGCTACCCTTTTTCGATGGAGAGCCATACGATCACTGACACAGGAGGCGTAACATGATTACGCCACGTGCACACTTCGATCGAGGGCTCGGGATCATGCTACCATATCCCTGTTAACACACCCAGTACGAAGAGAGATGATGGCGACACTGACCCACAACGGAGAAGAGAATTAGCAACCTCCGCCTCGTCGTCACAATACGCAACACAAGTCACAGCTTTTGTTGGTTTTATTCGTCCTAGGTAGAATGAAATTGCCCAACCGCGACGCCGGCGTTATTTCCTAATTTTAATGCACCAGTCACTTGAAAGCTCGGTCCCAAGCCCCGGACAACTACTGTACCATGTCGGGTGGTTACGGGAACGGCATAGAGTGACAACACATTTTTTTACACTCATGTATTCAACGCCGGAACGAAGCTCGGAATGATTTCGAGCAAATCCAGACAAACTGTACCATGTTTTGTTTCAGTTCCTGTTGAGCAAGGATTGTATAAGTGGTTGCAAGTTGGTGTCTCGGGGTCGGGACAGGGGTTGCAAGTGATTAGCGCGTAATTCTGTCGTGGCGCGGAACAACGGGCGTCGAAGCACCGTACTGCTACGGTACGGTGCATCGCATTTTGGTGTTTTTTTTTTTTTTTTGTTCTCAGCGCAATCTCCCTACCCACACTATTTCAAAACGAGATGGCAACGTACTGAGGGGTTAAAATAATGCCAATCAATCATCCAAATGTTCTTAAAAAAAACAAAAAAACATACGATAACGACGGGTTGGAACGGACGCTAAACCGCCGATGTGCTTTTATTCGATTGTTTCGTAAGGCCATTTTGGGATACGAGTAAAAAAAAATCGTCTTGATTTCCTTTTCAATATATTGCAGTGAATCTCTCATAGCCGGGCTCGAAATGAAACGACTTCAAGTTTCCCGTTCGGCCGAACGAAACACTTGCCCGACAAATTGTATATATTGCTTCAAAATTTGTCGAGTACAAATAAATTATTGGTGTAATATAAGACAGTGAATTCTGGCCGCAAGCGCGTTCCCGAGATCTCGGGGATCTAATTTGAGTTTCAATCTCGAGAAAAAAAATCCCCGGGAAATTCTACAAATAGAAATGTAGCTCCGAAACTATCTCACAAAGAGCGCGCCAAAATCCTTTGAAGAACATGGGATCATTTCAACATATGTAACCCCCTAACTAGCATAGAATAGTTGAATTGTTCGGGGTATATTTCGTGGCAGGAGATCCCTAGCTGTGGAGTCCAGAATTTCAACTTTCGTAACCGATTTCAAAATTAAATATTTTTTTAATTTTTTATTTCTAAAAAATTATCAAAACTTTGGTAATTATTCCCATTTGATCCAAACTTAGAAATAATACAAAAATAAAAATGCGCTAAAAGTTACTTTATTTAAAAATGTGACTAGGCTGCGTTGACTGTGTGTTTCGCGTCAGATACCGGTTAGTACCGGGTCGTCGGCTACAAAGTAACAATATTCAGCGCTGAGCTCAAGAGATTATTACCGATTTAGATTGTGTCTATTTGCAGTTCTCACTAACTTCCCATAATACAACGCGGGCGGGGGGAATGTACAGTTACACGAGGATAAAAAGCTGCAATAATTCGATATATCACATTTAATAATAGTTTATTTGCCGATTAACGCACGTGAAATAATAAAAAAATAATATTTGAATAGAGTCAATTAACGCAGGGGTTTATCGATGGCATCGCGTTTATTGTTACGTTCGACGTTTTGCTTTGAATGAGTTCTTTTCTCGGCGCTCTTTTAGTTGACGCCATGGTAATGTCCGATTCAACATAAAGCGGTACCAACGACAAGATTTACGACCGACGCAGGGTATTACTGAATAGATTTTGTTTTGATTACCTTGGCACGGGGCTAGACACAACAATGTGTGTTTAGTCATACCGATTATCTCTAACCCTCAAAGAGGTAAATATACATGTAACATTGCTTCGTTCAGACCCGCCGCGGTGGGTGCGGTTTTTACGTGTTTTCAGTCAGTAGTAGCAGGTGTGACCTCGAAATATTTTTTTTTTAATTTGTATTTCAACAAATCGTCATTTATGATCAAAGCGACAGATTTGACGCAAAACAAAAACAAAATTTAGTATTTCAAACCCTCATCACGCGCTATGAAAATTGCAAAGCGGCTCGTGGCTGCCAACTTGAACAACCTGTTTACCCCCCACCCCAGTTCAGCGACAAAAAAAAAAAATGCTCACTTGGAAGAAATAATTCGATTCTACAAAAGCTGCTTTTAATGTTTAACGCTTGTTCTTGCACGTTTTAGAAAATAAAACGAAGACGAAAAACTTGTTAAATAACATTTCGAAATTTCATCATTTTTTAATATGTATTCATGACCTGAACGTAACAATAACTAAAGCTTTTTTTTTTTTCGTTATACATGTATATATATAACAATAATTTTACCCAATAAAAACAAAGGGCAGCGGGTGATTACATTAAATATCGAATTCAAATCGAAAACAACTTGACATAAATTTAAAATAAATACTGCAAATATACAGTACAGCGTGTACCATAATATAATTATCGATAGATTTAAGACAATCACTAGAAAACAGGCTTTGCAATAACTACGATGACCCGTTTTTTTATTTTTATTTTTATTTTTTAGATAGGCTTTAATACTGGCGATAATATATGCTCTTTTTTGCTGCCATATCGGACTAAATTGGGAGTATACGACGCTTGTCTTCGACAAAGGGCGTATTTTGACAAAATGGGTGTTCCTTTAAGTTGCTTTTTTGTGACCAAACATGTGTATTCCATGTTCTGTTTGACTAAAAGGGTGAGCACGACAAGGGTGCAATCGGTGATCTGCACTGCAACTGGCTATCGCAATACTACGGAATAGCTAAAATGTTAAGACATTTTGAAGATATGTAAATTGCGTTCGTTTGACGAATAGATCACGCTGTTCACGTTGCATAAGCGAACCATCGGTGTAAGTTAGTATTTGAGCGAACATCGATTGAATTTTAACGCGACAATTCGAGATGATCTTCGGCATTCTATCCTCGATGTAGAACAAAACAAAAAGCCTTGTAATGAACTGCGTAGTCGTTGGCAGTTAACAAATAAAAAAAAAGCGTCTCAATCGCATTCCTCGTCGAGTTTGATTACCGTCTTTTGTGTCATCGAGATCATTAGACTCGCCTGATCAAAGAGACTGCATAACACCGACAATGAGATGACAATAGAGTTGTGAATCGCGACAAGGAGCATAAAATGATAGAGCGGGATTCCGAGAGATCGCGATGAGGAACGCTGTGGGAAAGTTGTCACCTACCTGCGAAGGCAGTTTTATTGAGCAATGCATTGAAAACAAGATAATGTCCGCGATCTGAAATCGAATACTTAAATACATAAAACCATCATTAGTTGTGTAAGCGAAATTAGTAGTCCGAGTTTAAGAAAACTTGAATTTCACCGATCGCGACTTAATTTACAAAAGTTCGCAGCGCGGCGCGACTACACATTTTTAAGTCATGTTACGTAATAACAAAATTAACAATTTCTACATATAAGTTCTTACCTTTATAAGTGAAATAACTAACTGTGGACGTATTCGTCATGTGGTCACTGTTTTTGATGATGTTGTTATTATCGTTGTCTTTACCAACATCGTCATCATCGTCGACATCGACTATTAAATGTTCATCTTCATCTAGGTCGTTTGACGTGTGTGAAGTTGTCTCCGATGTCGGACTTGGGCACGTTCTCAGTAACGGGTGATCCGAGTGGTGGAGGACCGGGTAGTGGGAACTCAGGATGTCTCGCTGCGACGGCAAATGTCCCGGTACAGACTCAATCGCCGGTTTGCGCTGCGACTCTGCGCTGTTTTTTTCGGCGTATGACTCCATGGTGTGTTTCCACGGCAATCGTTGGTGGAGCGAGGTAGTTCGGACCGTAACGTCGATTTGTGGAGGGTGGTGACCGCGGACAACTTGCAGATAACAAACAAACAGTTGTGTTCGGTCGGTCGTTGAACGTACTGATCTCAATGCGTCGGTACGGGCTGTGTCACTCGGTATGGGATGTCCAGCTGTAAACTTAGACCGGGCACCGGTGTACGGGGAGAGTAATAGGCCGCGTGATGCGGTACGGTAAGGATGGTGTCGTCTGTTCCACAGAGCTGGTTGGTGGCTTACTACTGATCTCGGCGTATGGTGAAGCTGGGGTTACGTATACGTTCTACCAAACAGAGCAGTAACAATATACACGCACAACGACACATGTAGCAATAGTCAGGCCAGAGATCACGTGACGTCAGGGATGATAGCACATGATTGGTGGCAATTTCCGCTTATCATATCACCCGCCCTCTGTCCGCCATGACAGTCTAATTTACAATCGCTTTGATGTACTTTTTAGTTGCCATAATGACTTGAATCACACTTGTGTCCTCCGACCCGCTTTAATTTTGCAAATATTTATCAAGTGTTTGGGACTCCGTGAAATGTTTTATTAAATATATGTTCGCGTCGACGTCGCCGATTTTGTTGATAGCTCGGCCGAGTGGGAAAAGACTCATGCATATTCACGTCGGCAATGTGGTTATTCTCTTTTGTTGGGTTTTGTCGGTTTATCATTGTTCGGCGACGTCCCATTCGCGCTTCCGATTGATCAAAACAAATTCTCGTTCACGCAAAATTCGTTCATCTTTTGCAACACCGCAGACGTCTGAACTTTTCAAAACGATGACGAAGTAAACGTTTTTGAGGGCACTTTAATCTTCACTTTTTAATGGGGATTTCAGGGTATTTTTATTGTGTAAATGTGGCAAAATTGAGCTGCATGAAGTTTATTTACATATTTTAGTATAAAAATGTCATTTTTATGGTTGGCGGGAAAAAAATTACATCTCATCGGCAGGCGATAAATGGAACATCATTCATTGTCGTGTGACTAATCCCATAATAGTCAACATAATCTGCAATGATTCAATTTAAACACTTCGATAATTCCTCGCGACTTTTCATTCTTTGACACCCGCGTTCGAAATACACCATGGAGACGTACCGACTGTGAACGTGCGAAACTCGTCACACGAAATCGTTCTCCGTGTAAGTTGTTCCCGTGTTAGGAAACGGCGGGACCGGGTGTTACGATGATACCAGTATATTCCGAGCCTCTGAGATAGATCATGGGCACGGGGTAAATATTTTCACGGGCACACGAATCAAATTTACAACTTTAACTATATATGCCTTCGAAACGGTGGGATCGGTCTCTCGAAAATGTTGAATTTTTGAATTTAACTGATGTTTACCGGTGCATAGTGGATATGAAAGTATCCACAGTTCTGACTCACCCCGTCGAAACGAACGTCGTATTCAACTTTTTTTTTCGTTTTTTTTTTTAAATACCAACTCGAAACCAAGATTGTACTATCTATCGATGGAATGCACATCAACCTATGCCGGAAAAATCAGGAATACTATCTTAGTCACACATAAGATAACAATATAACGGCCACGAAAAGCTTATATTTTGAGACCAACATAATTTTTATTAATACATTTTTCACCCAAAAAATTACTAAAGTGAAGTTGTTATTTTTATTTTGTTGACGGAAGAAAATGTGAAACCATGCTACTATATCTGTGAACGGAACTGGTGGAAGAACACGCGACACTAACTCAGAACACGCGCCGTGTAATTAAGAAGCATTAAAGGTTATCATAGGTACTTAACCACTGCACGCCACACACTACAGTCGCCTAAACCGAACATTAAACCGGCTATCGAAGTGATAAAAACAGATGTAGACCAACGAGCAAAATCTTAAAAACTACATTACTGTAATCTTATTTTTAAGGCATTAAAATTCCAGAATGAGACAGCGGACCGTCTGCTCGGGTTATTTAAAACAGAGCAGACCGGCCGGCTGATGCCAACCAAGCGCGGACCGTTTTGCGGTCGCCGCAGCAGTACACTTATGACGATTAGTAGATAGCTATAACTCACAAGTTATTTTGAAATAAATGAGTTCGGTAATTTGTTATTACTCATTACGACTTTGTTTAACGTCATACAGGGACTAACGGCGTATAAACTACCTTTAAATGCACAACAATTAGCCGGCAATATTATGAATATCATGACAGATGGCCGCCACTAAGGAATGAATTATTTGATGTGGGCGATAGAGGGCGTGGGTCAGCGAGTTGTACTTATCATGATGATATACGCTATTGATCATCAAGGGCCTGAAGAGAAAGAAAGCTCTTGGAGACGATTGCGATGATAATTATAGCGGACGTGCAAGAGCATCATAAAGCAATAATGAATAAGGGGCGTTCCATTATTTCTAGGCTGGGGTTATTATTTTGGTACCTAGATGGCTGGCTAACGTCACGGTGTTCAAACTCTCTCAGAAAGTATGAGTCTTCTATGTTGACGGATTGCTTTTTTTCCTGGTTAACTTTTCCCCCACATGTCCGCTACATTAGTAATACTGACCCACCCCTGAACATGTACGACTCATCCGCGGCCAGCATTATAGCGGTGGCCCTTGAAGCGACGTGTTTTTAATTTCCCATACTTGCTATGGGAAAGCTAAGTTGAATCAACTTTTTTTTCAAAACCAGGGATTATATTACATTCTTCTAGAAAGATGGACCGAACACTTAAAGCGCG